CCGCTATATATGGAAGAATGTAGCTTGTCCACCAATTAAGCCGACCCCTTCCCCAACCATAAAGTAGGGTTTTTGTGTCAGGATCTTTAAATGTTATGGACAACAATGTAATCCCCTCCCCTTCCCAAAGAAATTTATGCTGGATCCATCCTTTATTCCGGAATTTTAATAAAATGGAACTAAACATATTGATTAACGAAATAAAAAAGTCATTAGAGTTGTTTCCATTAGAAAATAAAAAGATACTTTCACGAAAGGCCACACTACTTTTTCTATAATTTATACAAATACATATTATTACACTCACTGACTGAGCATAAAACGCTCAAGGTGAGCATATGACACATGAACCTCCTATAGACTGGGCCAAATTGGAAATGTAAGAGGAGTGTGGGGAAGAAAATATTGTACAAGACTGTTGTAAACACAAGGTAACGTCAATAAATTATTTCACAAATTGCACTAGGCCTAATTGCTATATGTATACTCGAAAAAAGTATAGCTGTCATGACAACAAAGATAGCCTTCTGGATATTTTCTACGCAAACCAAAAATAGCTCCGGAAAAGTTGGGTAGGTGCAAATTTGATGTGATTGTCAAGATATAACGAAGACCTTGTGGTCAAATTTGATAGCTAACGTTTGATTAGGATTTATATTAAACAAAACAATAAATGTTTTATTGTAGTAATGTCAAGAGTCCATTCAAGTGGCTAATTAGTCAAAATATGACCATCAGATGCGTGAAAAACGCGTGCTACTGATGTTTAAGGAAGGATGGGTAACACAAAAACCTAATAATCTTTAAATTTAGCAAGAAGAAGTTTCACATTGGTTGAAGTAGTTTTATTATTAGTAAAAAACGTATATAAAAGACATTTTTGTCTAAATGTGCAGACAGAAACTTCGAAGGATCCAAACAAATATAGCTAGTGACCCAAATCAAGTAGATTTTCGATTAGCACTTTGTATACAGTGTGCCTCACTTTTAATCTTCACTTGCATAATCACTATTTTAAAGCGTAGAGAATCATGGAATATGCAGACGTCGATAAATTTGAAACACGCTTTTCCTCCTTTTCAGATTTCCATTTATATAATTCTTTATGTGCCTCCGATTAGTAAATATTTCGATCTAATCAACATGCACATATAGGTTGGAGTTTAAATTCAAAAATTGGAAAGGTTTACTCACTCCCGGCGTTAGCAAGTAAAAAATGGAAAGGAGGAAGGGGGTCATATCCTGCCTGTGGTTATTTACAAGAGGTCAATGCCGCTCAAAAATATATTTAATTTAGTTTATGTTTCATTAGTATTACCTCAGAGTGCCTTAGCAGTTTTTAATTTGTGATCAACCTGTATATAGATTTGTCCGCGATTAGCACATACCGTTTCATAATCGAGTTCGACTTTCCATCGGTGAGCAAAGTTTTGAAGCTGTTTACGGAGATAAATGAAAACAAAGACATGCATGCCATATATGGTTGTGTAGATAAAGTATCGTAGAAGACAATGGTAATAAACAATTTGTTCATGCAATTCCACTGAAAGTGTACACTAAAATGAGTGCGTTTCTGAGGAGGGGGTATCGAGTGTAATTCGGTGTTAGATATCTTTTTTTTTATATAATTATACACATTTAATACATGTATTTAATAGAGGGCGTTTCATTATGTGTTATCAATCGTATCTTCTCGGGTCTATTCAAATGGATAATACCCATTTTAAAGATAATACCCAGTTTAAAGAATGGCCCTACTCGGTATAATAAAAATACACGTGTATTTTTATTATACCGAATAGGGCCATTCTTTAAACTTGAGAAAAAGTACAATCTGCTTGCATATAACGACACATAGATGTGTTTGACGGGGAAATTTTATATTTTCGAGGTATTATAACTGTTACACTCTTACATTTTTTTTCATTAAAAAGGGGGGGGGGGGGGGGGTATTATCCATTTTTCAGGTGCCTGTGAATAGACCCGAGAAGATACGATTGATAACACATAATGAAACGCTTTCTAACACTTTCAGTGATGGTCATTTGAATCAAAATGAGCCTTCATTATTTTTTATAACTTCAGCATATTCTGTGTTTTCTGTTACACTAAACTACCAATTTCAACAAAAGTTACAGCTAGAAATTTTCCCTTTCTCACGGTGACGTCATAATCAGATGTGCACAAGAAAGTCGCCCAAATCATATAAATTGTGTACCCAGTTTTAATGACGTCAGCAAACCCGCGACGTAAGTTAAGGGTAAGGTATACTATGGTGGCATATTCCTGCCCCCTACATGCAAAATAAATTGTGTCAACATGCAACATATTAAATTTATGAAAACATGCAAGTTATTTATGTCGACATGCAAGTTACCAATCTTATAAAAAAATATTTGAATATGGTTAAATTTACTTACTAACGCCTGTATCTGACATCAAAGATGCAACATAATTATGAAGACATGCGACTTATTTATGTCAACATGCAACATAAGTATGTAGACATGCAACTTATTTATGTGAACATTCAAGAAATTTATGCCAACATTATACTTAGTTATTTAAACATGCATGAAAATTATGTCAACATGCGACTTATTTATGTCCACAAGCAAGATAATTATGTTAAGCATGCAAGATATGTATGTTGATACAGGCACCTAGCATCGTTTTTGAAAGTGGGGTGGGGGGGGGGGCAACCAGAGAATTTTTTTCTTACCTAAAAAGGTTGACAAGCAAAAATATCGGGTTATAAATACGGGTTGGTACGAGATTAAATTCATCATAAAAGCCCCTCGGGCTTTATGGAATTTAATCTCGTGACCAACCCGTATTTATATCCCGATAGATGTTTAAAAATGATACCTTATATCTTAATTATCGATAGTGCAACGAAGGATCGAATACAAATGTTCTTTACAAGTTTTCACGTTTATTTAACAGATGAATTGTTTGTTATTGTGATCATGGAAATAGTAGAATTCCTTTTAAGTTTTTTATTTACTCAAATGCATGAAGAAAAAAAAAGTTCTTTGTGCCCGTTCCGATATCATTAGATTTTTTCCAAGCGTAAAATTCCTGTAGTATCCGTACTTAACCAACAATGCAATTCTCATTCAGGTGATATTAGTACTTTGTCAGTTAGAGCCATGCTCTTACCTCTTTTGCTAATTTGAAGCCAAAAAATATAATCCCAGTTCCCATGCCAGTATATTTGTCCAAATACAAATTTTAAAACATGACTGCAGAAAAATTATGTCGTAAAATATTCATTAAAGTTTGAATGAATTCAAGAGAGGTTGAAGTACATTTAATATAAGATAATATTGCGTTGTGAAGATTGAAACACAACATAACTTTTCTGTTTACCGTGTCTCCACGTGCTAGTAACTTCCTAGCCACATTGAATAATTTAATTACCCTATCTCGCTAAGTCTCACCAGAGATACTACCAGAGCTACTCTGAACTCCTTGGGTTTTATTATTTGTGGAACACCGAAATATAAAAGGTTACGAACACCTAATTATAATTAGTAGGGGTGTGTGACAAGACCTTTCTAAATACTCTATGATTTTTGCCCCCTTGACCTTGAAGTTTGATCTAATTTTAAAAAATTAAACATAATTTTAAATTGGCCATGACTTTTGATTGAATGATAATATGTTATTTAACGTCCCTCTCGAGAATTTTTCACTCATATGGAGACGCAACCACTTGCCGATGAAGAGCTGTAAATTTTGACTTATACTCGGCAATTGATGCCATTGAGTATCTTTTATGTGCAAGCACCTACTGAGACCTCGGTTTATACGATCTCATCCGAAGGACCGGTCTCAACCTCCCACAGTGGGATTCAAACCTGCGACGTAAGGATCAACTCCTTACTTCGCGACTCTAGAGCAGACGCTCTAACCATTGTGCAACGCGGATAACGTCATAACTTTTAAATTAGAAGAGATACGGCTTCAATATAAAAGATCCGTATCATCTGTGACAAGACCTTTTTAAATACCATGACAAGAAACACAATGATTTTTGACTTAGTGACCTTGAAGTTTGACTTACTTTTCAAAAACTTAAACCTTAATCATGACTTTTGAATGAGAAGACTATGGTTTTCATATTAAACCCGTGTATTGCTTGTTACAAGACCTTTCTAAATACTCTATGATTTTTTAAGTTTCACCTTCTTTTCAATAATGGTCATTTTTCCTTATCACTTTTGATTGAGAAGAGGTGTGGCTTTCATGTTTGACATGTCTATTACCTGTGACAAGATATTTCCGAGCATGCTATGATTTCTGATCATACGACCTTCACGACTGACCTTTTATAAATTTAAAAAACTAGAGGTGCTGTGAGCGATGAGCTCACTAAATGATACCCCCGCCTTCATATAGTTATAATGGCAAAGTCCATGATTTGCTGTGGCCGGAAACCCAAAATATGTGTCGGATCAAAAAGTAAAATAGGAGGTGCACAATGGAAATATGTAATTAAGATTCTGTGAAAGTTTTATCAAATTTCATTCAGTGATATGAGAGGAGTTGCGGATAAGAGAAGGGTACCCCAAAGCGTAACAGACGGACGGAAGGACGGACGTACAGACGGACTTATGAATTAACGATTACTATATACCCTCCCGCTTTTCAAGCGGGGAGTATAAAAAACAACCTCGATGGAAACTTCGGAATGACATACTAGTATGATAGGGCGTTCATATTTGACACAGTATGCCATAAAATGGCATCTTACCCACAAAGACGCCAATATCGGAGGACTACAATTCTTTGAATTTGCTTCTTTTATTTGGAAATCGCGGGTACGAGTATTTCTTAACTATTGTCTATATTGAAATATGTAGGGAACACAATATAGTGACATTGTTCTTATAATGATAAAACATATTTAAAAATAAAACTTTTGTTCAAAATATAATGCAGAAAGTATCATAATTATCTAAATTGTAACTTTTTAAATGTATCATAAAACTCACATAGAACACTGACTTCTGCAGCATTAGACGATGCCCTAAACTGGTAATGTGAAGGAGTATAAACCTCGCAGTAACAAGACTTGCCATTGAGATATGGATCAGCTTCGAAAACAACTTCTGATGTCAGCCCAATGTAGGTAATTCTAGAGTTAATCGTTTGAGTTCCACATTTCCAGGACCAAATTATTTGAGGGTTGCCAAGCGAGTCAATCGAGCACTGAAGAGTTATATCGTCGCCAGCTGGCTTTATTATTTGAGAAATGTTCAAAATTGGTTTTGTCAATGGCGCATCTATATTTAAAGAACAAAAACGGCGTCTGTAATATATCCCAATATATTTTTTTGTAATTTGGCCATTCTAAAATAAAACATTTTGTATATGTCAGTCTTCAAGATAGATACAAATCTTTAATCGATGTCATTTCATTTATGGGATATCCGTATTAAAATATCCCATGAAGTGTGCGCCAACTTTACTGATAATGTTTTTGCATTCTAAAAGCTGTTATATGCAAGCATTTTTATTTCTAAACATTGTGTTTCTAACAATATTCTGCATTTTTTAATTTTTAATGAAATTGAGTTCCCTTTAATCATATAACCTGTTTCTGTAGCAAATTTTATTCGTGTTAGATCATACATAGAATCTCAGCGATATGTATGGCACGCCAAATTCACAAAAATAAGCTAAACATAAGTTTCACAGTCGATAAACTAGGTTTATCGGTTGTAAACTATAATAGTTTACGGACTGTAAACTATAGTTAACAACGTTAATCTATATTTTACATCCGTAAACCATAGTTAACGCGATAATCTATGTTTCACAACCGTAAACTATACTTAACACTGAAAACAATCATTTGCAATTGCAAAACATAGATTATCTGATAAATACAGTTTTACGAATTGTAAACTATAGTTCACAAACCGTTAACTATAGTTAACGATCTGATAAATATAGTTTCACGATTTGTGAAACTATGATTAACAACTCCTAACTATAGTTTACGATTGTAAACCATAGTTTACAAACGTGAATCTATGTTTATCAACAAAATCTATTGTTAACGCTTATTACAGACAGATAAACTTAGATTATCATTCGTAAACTATAGTTAACAACCGTTAAATATAGTTTTACAGATGAAAACTATACTTAACGAATCGTTAACTATAGTTTACGGTTTGTAAACTATAGTTTACAGTCGATAAACCTAGTTTATCAAATGTGAAACTAGGTTAATCTCATTTTTAGCTCTACTGGTCAGAGACCAGAAGAGCTTATGCGATAGTAATGCGTCCGGCGTCCGTCCGTCTGTCTGTCCGTCTGTCTGTAAACAATTTTTCAAAACGCTACTCCTCCTACAATTTTAGTCTGATTTCAATATTACTTGGCACACAAGTAGACTACACTAAGATACATAGAATAGTGCATCGGTTTTTAATTTCGATGAACGGTGTTGCCATGGTTACTAAAAATAGAATTTTCTGTGAAATTCCTTAAAAACGCTACTCCTTCTACAGTTTTGGTCTGATTACAATATAACTTGGTACACAAGTAGACTACACTAAGATACATAGAATAGTGCATGGGTTTTTGATTTCGATGAACGGTGTTGCCATGGTTACTAAAAATAGAATTTTCTGTGAAATTCCTTAAAAACTCTACTCCTTCTACAGTTTTGGTCTCATTTCAATATAACTTGGCACACAAGTAGACTACACTAAGATATATAGAATAGTGCATGGGTTTTTGATTTCGATGAACGGTGTTGCCATGGTTACTAAAAATAGAATTTTCTGTGAAATTCCTTAAAAACGCTACTCCTTCTACAGTTTTGGTCTCATTTCAATATAACTTGGCACACAAGTAGACTACACTAAGATACATAGAATAGTGCATCGATTTTTGATTTCGATGAACAGTGTTGCCATGGTTACTAAAAATAGAATTCTCTGTGAAATTCCTTTAAAACACTACTCCTTCTACAGTTTTGGTCTGATTTCAATATAACTTGACACACAAGTAGATTACACTAAGATACAAAGAATAGTTCATCGGTTTTTGATTTCGGTGATCGGTGTTGCCATGGTTACTAAAAATAGAATTCTCTGTGAAATTCCTTTAAAACACTACTCCTTCTACAGTTTTGGTCTGATTTCAATATAACTTGGCACACAAGTAGACTACACTAAGATACATAGAACAGTGCGTCGGTTTTTGATTTCGATGAACGGTGTTGCCATGGTTACTAAAAATAGAATTTTCTGTGAAATTCATTTAAAACGCTACTCCTTCTACAGTTTTGGTCTGATTTCAATATAACTTGGCACACAAGTAGACTACACTAAGATACATGAATAGTGCATGGGTTTTTGATTTCGATGAACGGTGTTACCATGGTTACTAAAAATAGAATTTTCTGTGAAATTCCTTTAAAACGCTACTCCTTCTACAGTTTTGGTTTGATTTCAAAATAAGCTGGCACACAAGTAGACTACACAATGATACATAAAATAGTGCTAGCAATGGTTTTTGATAAGTACAAACCAGTAGAGCTACAGTCTCGACAGAGACTTCTGGTTGTGAATTTGGCGTGCCATAGATATGCGTATTTTCTTTGCTTTAGGTAGTATTAATGAAAAAGTTAAAAGAGATCAAATAATGATACAAAATATTTACAAAAGATAAAATTTTGAACACCCTTATCACCAAAACTTCAGAGTTGGGATCAATATGAGGAGCAGACGTTACCTGTTTACATGTCCAACCACCTTGAACCTTATGTTTTAATGTTCAGGTAAGATCAGAGTAGACGGAACATTTATTTACAATTTTAAAAAGTGTCTCTACGATTATAACCCAACGTTTGACTTAATCTTCGACACAATTCAAAATAGAACCAGAAGTCTCTGTCAAGACTGAAGCTCTACGTACTGGATTGTACTTATAAGAAATGAAGAGAAAAGTAGCAGTTGGGACTTGAGACTTGACAACAGCAAAAAATAGAATAATGATGCTTGATTGAGCTCTTTTTGTGGGAGGAAATTGCAGTAAGACTACAGATGTAGGAGTAGCTTTTACAGTATTTTCAATTTTAGTAACCATGGCAACACCGTTAATCAAAATCAAAAATCGATAAACAGGAATTATGAACCTTAGTGTAGTCTACTTGTGTGCCAAGTTATATTGAAATAAGACGAAAACTGTAGGAGTAGCATTTGAAAGTATTTAACAAAAAATTCTATTTTTAGTAACCACGACAACACAGTTCATCGAAATCAAAAATCGATATATAGCATAATGTATCTTGGTGTAGTCTACTTGTGTGCCAAGTTATATTGAAATCAGATCAAATCTGTAGGAGGAGTAGCATTTTGAAAGTATTTCACAGAAATATCTATTTTTAGTAACTCGGCAACACCGCTCATCGAAATCAGAAATCGATAAACGAAATTAGGTTTCTTAGTGTAGATCTACTTGTGTGTCAAGTTATATTGAAAACGGATCAAAAAAACTGTAGGAGTAGCATTTTGAAAGTACTCACAGAAATTTCTATTTTTAGTAACCACGGCAACACCGCTCATCGAAATCAAAGATCGATACATAAAATTATGTATCTTAGTGAAGTCTCCTTGTGTGCCAAGTTATACTGAAATCAAACCAAAACTGTAGGAGGATTTTAAAGAGCATTTTAAAGAAATTGTTTACAGACGGACGGACGCCGGACGCATTACTATTGCATAAGCTCTTCTGGTCTCTGACCAGTAGAGCTAAAAATGATTTCAGTGCATATACTATATAATTTCAAACGAAATAAAGAGTGGGTTCAGAAGTTTTTGGTATATTTGAAAATAAAAATCCAAAAATGATCACATCAGTATGAAACAAATGCTAAACAATTGGTATGAACTAAGTCAGTCGAAATTGGAGCCTATGATAGTGTCATGTAATCATTTTCAACTTCAGATTGAAAATTAATAAAAGACATTTGTCATGGAGAAAAACTTACAGTTTTTCAATATACTTATTAATCTCTGAAATATGTAATTAATTTTAATAATTCAAAACTTTTAATTTTTATTTTTTAAAAAATATTTCATGAATTACTCATATTTATGTCAAACATTTAAGTAAAATTAATTATTAAAGAATTAATGTTAAATTGATTTTTATGCTAAAAGTATATGTTCAGAATTTATATATATATTTTATTTTAGCTTTTGTCTGATTACTCTGAAGTGTCATGTTATTTATTGCACATGTCAACTTTACTTTATCGGAAATGCCAAAATTAAGGTTCTTTGTTCAATTGATAAAAAGTTTTTCTAACGTGGGCTTCGCAAGCTTTTTGGGGTAATTTTGTTGTAAATGTTTTTATAGCATCCATTTGATGTAGTCCATGAGTGATAAATTCTTTGTTAACAGATTAACGAAGTCCCTAGAATTATTTACCTGGCCAAGTGTTGTTTAATTAGTTGCGTCACAAAGACCTATAGATTAAGTGGACACGCAATGACTTGTTAACACATTAAAAGTATGTAGTTAAATAGTTTAGTAATAATTGTGAGATGATCGCCGATATGTTATTAGTGATTTATTATACAATAATGGCATTATAATGGCTTATAAGCTTTTGAGACTATAAATGCCATTATTATATAATAAATCACTAATAACATATCGGCGATCATCTCACACATTTCCTAACAACATTGACAGTAAGTCTGTTCAGTCTAACAATAATTTGCATTCTGATCCCGATCCCATTCAAAATAAAATTTACAAATTGTACTGTGCAACCTAAGAACTATTTAACTATATACTTTTAATGTGTAAACAAGTTTGCATTAGATATGCGTAACAAAGTAACTAACTACACTATAATGATTTCTAACTAATTAAGACACAGACAAAAAATAATTAAATCTAGTAAATAAAACTTTTTAAAATTCTTTAACTGAATGAACCTTAATTCTAAAAATTTTGTTAATTACAATGACTTTAAAGGTTGTTACCTAAGTAAAAATAAAAAAATATATTTACCTATATAAATTAAAAGAAGGCAGGAATAAGCTAACGCCCGGCTGGTTTTATTCAGTGATGAAAAGTGACCAGCCGGGACGCGCAACCTGCTTAACTAAAAAATCTGAGATATTCTTTTTAACCAATCAAAAATGATTTAAAAGATAATGGTTGACGAAAAAACTACATTACAAAGGATCACTTGTTCATTGCGTGTCCACTTAATCTATAGGTCTTTGTGACTGTCATGTAATCATTTTCA